GAATATGAAAAGGGAATTTTATTATGGTTAATATAATTTTTATTGATGCTTTAAGCATGAGAATTGAGTTGTTAAGTGTCTTAGTACACAGGAATAAATTATATTGCGGTGCCTATGTGCACTTAAGGTGTTTATAACACCGAGGGATAGGATTTGCGACGCATTATGCGTTTAAGGTGTCTTTGACACCGAGGTAGTTTAAAAAGGATTCAACATTAAAAGTTATGTGGTCACTAATTATTCAAGAATTTAAATTGGTATGTTTGATTGCTTGAATGATTGTAATGTTTGATTGTGCTATAGTTTGAGAGTCATCACCAAGTCTAATAATATGTAAACAACGTAAAGTGAAAGAGGTTACACACCACAACTCTTGGAACGTATATGCCTTGAGTACGAACATATGGGGGGAGTTATGCGACTTTATATTTGACCATAACTTCTACTAGGAGTATAGGACGCTGTATTTTCCTTTTAATTATTTTATGCGCAGGACGTCCAGTCACTTCATGTGACATTTGCCTACCCGGTTAGCTCCTGGTGTAGTTTACCTCAATTTATTTGAGGCAAGGATTCGGTTGGAAACCCGTTTGATGTGTAATCAAAATTAAATGAACATTGGTCTTCGTATAGTTAAGTGTTGTATGTCTTGTATGCTTGTTTACAGGTGCAACACGGTAAGTTGTCTGATGATAGGATGAAAGCATGTTAGTGTGTTTTATTACGCTTATGTACTCAGCATTGCTGATTGTGTGTTTGTATGTTCGTTTGTCCTTGTCATTACCTGGCTCTACGACGATCCATCTCTAATGGCGAGTAGTGGGGACAAGTAGAGAGAAGCTTTTCAGGTGATGAAGCATATTCATGATGGGCATGAGTAAAGAGCGAAAATCATGCTTAGTTCTCATAGGAATATGATGTGTTTTAGTTGCTTTGAATATTATTTATTTTATTATGCTCATGAGACTAACGCAAAGGTTTTCGGTATTGTTTGGTTTTAAAGGCCTACAATGGTTCGAAGTTGTAGGTTGACTTTGTTTGACTTTACTTTCGTTGGGTTTGACTTTTAAAGTTAGCTTGTTTTTAAATGGTTTTTAAAGATAGTCTTCCGTTGTGTGTGTCTTTGATATTTGCCTTAGCCGTTTTCACGGTGGCGGTAATGTCTTAGATTTTCCTATTTCGTATTTTAAAAAGGGCAAAATAGGTATTTTAAAGGAAAGAAATTTCTAGGGTGTTACAATAGGTGTGGGAATGTGTGCATTCTAGGGTTGGAGCCCTAAAAAAGAGTGCACTGATTGGCGGCGCAATCAGGTTGAGACACGTGTCTCTTGGGGGGAGCCGTTATGGCACTTTTCTCGGGAATTGGGCCTCCTGATGTATGGAGTCCCTCTTTCACTCACATGCTCTTATGCTTTGCCACGTGTCGTCATCCTATTAGAACACGTGTCGCTCTTTCATTGGGCCACATGTCACTATTGGATTGGTCCACGTGATGGGGTGTTTTTTACCTTAAACACTTTTGTAATGCTCTATATTTTTATAATATTTTTATATATATAAATTATTTATTTTATAAATTAAAATGATTCATTTTATTTTAAAAGAAATAAATTATTTAAATATTATGTAAGTGTGTATAAATAATATGAGTCATTAATTGAGGCAATAAAAGTGTTTTGAATTGGGTCATCCTTATTTAAATAGTTGGATCAACTTGTTGAGAAATTGAGGACACTTAAGAGCCCAACAAGTTGGCCCCAAAGGAAGAAGTTAAGGGGGAGTATGATTTAGTAATGACAGTTTTGTAATTATGAATTTTTGTTTTAAAAGGGGAGTATAAATACTTTAAAACCCCAAGGCCTTCACTCAAAAATCATAATTGTCAGATTTCACAAAACCTCAAAAGTTTTCCTCTTATTTTCTCTTTCCTTTTTCTCTCTTCTTTTTCCTCTCTTTTTCCCTCTTCTCATCCCCTCACGGCCGACAGCCACCGGCGCCACCACCAGCCACCGACCACCCTCCTTCTCTATTCTTTTGTTTTTGGTTCGGTATTGTCATAAAAAAATTAAAAAAAATTAAAAAAAAAACCTATTTTCTCTTCCTAATTTAATTCTAGTTGTTTTTATTAATTTAAAGCATGATTTTGATTATGTTTTGGTATTGATTTTGGATATTTGACGTTGTTAAATTATCCCTATAATTTTTCAGATTTTTATTTAATCAAAAACCCTAATTTACGAACCCTAAATTTTGGGAATTTATTGTTTATGGTTAGGGTTTGATCCTAGGTTGTTGTTGTTGTTTAATTAATGATTTAAACATGTTTTTAATGAGTTTAAACCCCACAAATTAATGCTGGAATTTAATTATACATACTACTTTTTAATTATTTTGTTAGGGTTTGATTACCCATAAAAGGAGAAAAGGTTTTAATGATTCGAATATGATTTCCTAATCTATTAGTGATGTTTTATATTAAATAAGTGTGCTAGATTTTATTTAAGTCATTAAAACTAAGTCTTTTTGAAAGGATTTTAAGTACCCACTAAAAGAAAAGATTTTATGGCTTTTATGTCATTAAACTGGGATAATTAGTAAGGTTTAAAGTGTATTATAGTTGTTGGAAATTTGTGAGAATAGAGGATTAATGATAGTTATGTATTCTTATTTATAGGAAGTTTCGAGCTAAGTGATTTCTAGCGAGTATGGCCGAGTTTAGGCACTATTCAAGGTACGTATGTGCATAAAAATATTTGTGTATGCGTAGTATCAATGCTAGGATTGTAAAGTATGATTTAAGTGATGAATTAGTAGCATATTTGGTTGATTATATGCTTGGAATTGATGTTGGTTGAGCGTGAATTGTTATGCAAGCATGTGAATATACTATTTGAGGCATGATACACGTTGAATATGTATGAATCATGGAAGTATGTTTTATTTTCAAGTATCAAAAAAGCTTGAATTTAATAAGCAAGGCTTATGTATGTTTAAAAGAGCTAAAATTAGAATTATTGAGCATAATTTATGAATTTATTTCTCACCCATTTATTATTGGTGTTGAGTCAAGAAGTTAATTTTAATTTATTTTTTTACTCACTCATGTAAGTTGAGTTCGAGTCAAGGAAGTTTAGTACTGCATATTATGCACCAAGGTAGTAATCGTGCAATTTGGTGCACAAAACTAGGCAAGGAACCTTAATTAAAATAAATAGTATGTGCTCACTAATGAATTCAAGAATGAATTGGAAGTATGTGTTGATTGTTGCAATGTTTATTCTTGATTGATTGGTTGGAGTCATCACAAATTAAATTGGTAAATCACGTAAAGTGTAAGAGGATACGCACCAAAACTCTTAGAACGTATATACTTTGAGTATGAACATATAGGGGGATTTATGGGGTTTTATATTTAACCATAGCTTCTACAGGGGTATATGACGCTGTACTTTCTTTTATTATTATTAATGCGCTGGAATTCCGTCACAAGTGTGATGTAGTAGGTGCCAATAGGGGTAGCTCCCTAATTGGAAGCTCCATGTTTAATGGGCTATTTTTAAAGGAAAGGAAACATGTTCGATGCGTAATCCAAATTTGTTATTAATAATCAATATTGCTAGTTATGAGTCAAAGGTAAGTTGGCTTGTGATTGTATGGCAAGCATATTTTAATTATTTTATTTGATGCTAGGATATTCATGTTAGTATGGTGCATATGTACTCAGCTTTTGCTGATTCGTACTTTTGTGTTTGTGTTTGACTTTCCTTTGGATTGACCCTACTATGACCCATTTATATGGTGAGTAGAGGGGTTGAAATAAAGAGAAAGTGACAAGTACATGAAGCATGCAAAGCATGAAGGGATGAGAGCAGAGAGTTACTTGTTATGCTTTCTTAGTTTTGATATTTTGAATTATTGGTTATTGTTTATGGACTAACGTTATTGTGTTTATTTTTAATCGGATTTAAGAAGGGCCATGTTTGAATTGGTTCCAACTTGTGAATGTTTTATTCTACTTTTGTTTTGAGGTTGTGAACTCAAGTTTTATTTTGAAAGTTGGTTTTTATTTTTTAGACTTCCGCTGTGTTACTTTGAAAATTAGCCTTAGTCGTTATCACGGTGGCGATAATACTTTGGTTATCTCCTAAAAAGGGTTTTATTTAGAGTAAAATGAGTATTTTTAAAAGAAGGAAATTTCTAGGGTATTACAACTTTATATAGAAAATTTAAAGTATTCATGAATTTTTTTTTCTTTTTTTTTTATTTTTTTTTTTTGTAAAAGTATTTGACCATTTTATGGAGAACACATAAAATATATAGCATATACTTTCTTCGTTACTTTAATATCGCAACATTAACAAATTTAGAATGTTTCAAAAATATTATACTCATACTTCTTAATTCCATTTGTTAGAGAAAAAATATCTCCTTACACACAGCAAATACTCATTATATATTCTTACTCAATAATACTAGTTGCTTTAGTTAAATTTTGCAATCACATGGAGTACCAGTCAATTCAGATCAACGGGTCAGATTTGGGTCCCTTTGGTTCGAGTGGTTAGGATCATTTTGGTCATTACACAAACATGATAAATGGATCAAACTGGGTCGATTTTAGGTTGTTTGGGTCGAGTTCGAGTTTTCTCTCTATAACTCAAGTTTGGAATTAGGTCAAGTCGGATCGAGTTACTGCGTCAGTTAAGAAGTGATTGGTATACATGGACATGCTTGTACTATTGTGTCACTCTTTCTTCTCCTGCCCCCCCCCCCCCCCCCCCCCCCCCGCCTCCAACCCACCATGTTGCAATGTTAAAGGAACGAAGAAAGTATGACACGGCTCAACAATTTGTAATTAATAGTTAATTTAATCATAATAATTAAAGCCAGTCCAATAGCCCATAAAGTTAAAGATGAACTTTTATTCAAACTCATACTTCTTAAGAGTATTCAAATTAAGTTTTACTTATTACCTATCAAGTGCTCAATACTGACAATGGGGTACTTTAAAGGTGGAGATCCTCTATCCTTCTATCCACTCTCAAAGTGTCTACCTCGCTAATCGAATTAAGTGTTTAGACTAATCAATTGAATTATCTTGAAGATAAAAATTCTGGCTCAACTCATCATGAATTATTTTTTTTATTTTTTATTTTATTTTTATATTTTTACGGGATAGTTGGATATTATACTCAACTACTCATCATTTTTTCTTTTTAATGGGATACTTCTAGCATTTTAGTTACATCTAGCGCAACATTAGGAGAGGACAAAAGAGGATTATATGGTGGATTCCAATTGAGTAAGATTCTTGACAACCTTATTGCATTTAGCACCACAACATTTCACTAACACAAGATTCGTGTAGGTCCCTCACTCCCATATTCACCATATACACCATTTTAACATTCAAAATAACAGCAACATCAACAATAATAACATAAAATATCAAAAAAAAATAATTTTACTTCAAAAAAATCAAAAAAATTCCCCCAATTTGCAAAATTCTTAATCTTCCAATTATGTCTCCAATTTCTCTTAATCATACTCATAATTACAAACTTCCCCTTAAACCCACTTCCACTTTAACCTTCTCCTCCACTATTTCTCCTCGATCATCCTGCAAATTTAATAGAAAATACAGAGTACCAATTATATGTTCTTCGTCTTCTTTGAATTCCGATAAATTGGAGTCAAAAAGTGGCGTTGGTAAATGGGTATTTAATTTTGCAGCTGGGGCTGTTGCAGTTGCTTCGATTTTTCTGGATTTTGATTCACCGGCTTTTGCTGAGTCTCTCACTATTGCATTCCCAGTTTCTCGTTCTATTGAGGTTCCTTTTTAGTTTGTTTTAATCCCTTTTTATTTTAGGTCAAGTGGATGTTTGTTGATCGCTGCTCGTATTAGTCTTATATGTTCACTTCCTTATATCCATGCCACGAGGAAATGTTGCATTTAATATGAAACTGCGGTAGTGTTATATAGTGACTTGCTTAGCAGAGTTATATTATATGGGAGTAGTTTGATTAGGAATCATGTTGTTGATTTTGAGATAAATTATTTTTTATTAGATTCCATGCAATGTCAAGCTATTGGTTTTGAAAAAAATGGAAAATGAATAAGATGAGAATATAAGAAATTGTCATAAGGCCAACTTGTCAACCTATCTTACTTGCTCATTCTTGTGGATGAACTATGCAAATGGTTAATGGTGAAAAACAATTACATCAATTCTTTGCTATTGGACATGCAAAGTAATGGGATTTAGCCATTAATTTTAGATGTAGTTGCTCAAACATGTAGGTTCACTCATGATTTTTATGGATATTAACGCAAGGGTAGAAATTACACACGAATTCATTATCATTACCTCAATTTATAATCTTTTTACCAATAAACTTGTTGTGATCTTGTTAATGTTCATCAATTTATTACACTCTTCTTGTCTATGTCACAGTTACTTCATATTTATAGAAACAATACAAAATTATCCTTGTTGAAGGAAACAAATATGAGGCTAAGCTATGTGGTTGGTCTTGAGATTGTACATGGATTGATATTATATCAAGTAAAACTTCAACTATTTTATAGGTAAATAAAGTACAAAGGACCTTAATTGAGGTTTGGGGTTTGATTAGAGAATCCTTCATTGATCCCACTTTCAATCACCAAGACTGGGATTCGAAGCTGCAGCAAACAATGGTGGAAATGTTCCCTCTCAGGTCTGCTGATGCAGCTTATAACAAGATCAGTGGAATGGTCTCTAGTTTAGGAGATCCTTTTACCAGAATAATCAATCCTAAGGTATTTTCTTAATACTTAGCTGTTTCAAATCGCGCAATATTAGGACTGTTTTTCATGTTGATCTATGACATTTTTAAATTTACAATATGGCCAATGTTGTCAACCCCAAATCATTTTGGGACTAAGGATTTGTTGTTGTTCTTGATAACCAATGTTGCACTTGCTTTTACAGGAGTACCAAAACTTCAGAATTGGAAGTGATGGAAACTTGCAAGGTGTTGGGTTGTTTGTTAATGCAGAACCAACTACAGGACATCTGGTAAGCACTAGAAAATTAGGAATAATGTATCTGTTTTCCTCTCAAGTTCAAAATGAATATATAAGCCATTGAGCTGCTGCCTCTGTAAACCATCACAATTCGACAAGGTATGTGTAGTAGTTTCCTTTGAGATAGTAGCTTTTGACTGCTGGAAGTCACTCTCTTCAAGATTAGTATGATATTTTGCAAGCTTGTGCTCTGGTTTTATGTATCAGTTTGGTTTCTGTTGTCATTGTAGGTTGTTGTATCTTGTGTTGCTGATAGTCCAGCTGCACGTGCCGGTATACACGAAGGAGATGAGTTGGTTGAGATCAATGGTGAGTAATTAATCAACTTGTAACCTAACTAAGTTCTTCTGAGTTCTTGAGTAGACTGCTAGTCTTACACTTATGCCTGAACTCAATTAACCGAGATTCATAATGACTGCTAGAAAGGAATGACAAAATTACCATCCATGCACTTTTATAATACAATATAAGATTCACAGTATTTCCTGCTCCTCATTGTAGCTCAAAAATGGGGATATCTGTACCGCCCCTTTTTAACAGATATTGGTTTTGGTGAGCTAGAATGTATTCTCACATTGATGAATGTTTCAGACACTCATAACAGCATTTTTCCCTAGTCATTTTATTAGGAAACCTGGAAATCACACCTGTGGTTTATTTGATTAAACCTATTGCAAGGGAATGAGCTAAATAATTAACTTCCTACTTGTGTGTGTCAGACACTCTGGCTATTCATGCGATTTGTATTGTTGGCCATTATATTATGTAATGTCTTAGTCTCTCTCCACCACCAATTAATTGACTCCGATGGTGTTTTGGAGATTCAGGGGAAAAGCTCGATGGATATAGTAGTGAGACAGTAGCGCAGAAGCTCCGAGGGCGTGCTGGATCAACTGTCAAAGTGAAAGTCCACAGTGTACTTGCTCAACCCTGAAGTTTGTAGATCATTGTATCACTTTTATGATTATTTCCTGATTCATTGCTTGCTGCAGGAAAAAGATTCTGCTTTCAGCTCTAATACCAGAGAGGTATATATTATGCTTCTTGTTTCACACTCGCTAAACGATTGGACTTTTCAAGTACCATTGTTTAGTGAATGTTCCAGTTCTTTTATGAACTGCACATATCATAGTTTTCGTTTTGATTAATCTGGTAGCAATCTATAAATCCAACCTTGTATCATAGTGTTCTCTATTTTGGTTCATTGTGTTAAAGTGTCTTCTAACATAGCTTTTGCTTCTTGAAGGTCAACCTACCTCGAGAATACATTAAGTTGTCACCAATCTCCAGTGCTGTCATCCCCCATAAAACCCCTGATGGGCATCTGTCAAGAACAGGTTACGTAAAGCTATCAGTCTTCTCTCAGGTAATTATGTCAGTACATTATGGCCAGGCTTATGACTTCTCATTCTCCGTGATCTAATATATTTTACTCCACATTTTGATTTACTATTGCATGTATAATTGTGTTTTGAAATTGATAGACTGCTGCTTCTGATATGGAAAAAGTGATTCATCAACTAGAAGATCAGGGTGTTCAGTCATACATATTGGATTTGAGGAACAATCCGGTAAGCACCTTCTTTGAAATGTTGGCTTTGGGCCAATGCCAATACAACTAATTTATATTGCATCTCTTGTACATTTCTGCAGGGTGGTTTAGTAACAGCAGGACTTGATGTTGCTCAATTATGGCTAGATGGAGAGGAAACTCTAGTATATACTACTGATCGGGACAAACATATATTTCCCATCAATATGGTTGATGGACATGCTATAACACATGATCCTCTTGTAATACTTGTAAGTTTCTGAAATAATTTTATGTCCTGTGGCTAGAACATCAATCACACAATCTTTAAAACAACCTTCCTATATGGATCACCAAGGACCGAGGAAATGACGACTTCAAAGTTACAATGATTTGGCTATAACTAAACACTGTAAACTGCTCTAGTTTAAGAAAACATATCAAAAACAAAGTTTACACCATTAAATCAGATGTTGTAATTGACTCAAATGCCAAAATTTTCCCACATTTGTTTACTGCTTTTAGCCAGTAACATATCATATGCTAAACTCTCTTGATTGAAGTAGGTCAATGAGGGAAGTGCTAGTGCAAGCGAGATTCTAGCTGGTGCTCTACATGATAATGGCCGTGCTATCCTGGTAGGACACAGAACTTTCGGCAAAGGCAAAATTCAGGTATCATTATCACAAAGATAACTTTTTGTTTTTAAAATTTTTGAGTGCAGGGGATCAGACTGTTTTGTTTCATGGCATATAGATACTGCTTTTTTGCTTTTTAGTTACTCAAATACCGTGTTGTTTTTCTAGAGCGTCACAGAGCTGCATGATGGATCTGCCTTATTTGTCACAGTGGCCAAGTACTTGTCGCCATTGCGACATGAAATTGACAAAGTAGGTATAACCCCAGATGTTCAGTGCTCTGCTGATATGCTGAATGTACCCAAACCATCCGTAGTTAAGGACAAAAACGCAGGGTCTGCATTAGAAGCAGATTCTTGCATATTGGTGGCAGAGCACGAATTAGACGCGCAACAGTCAGAAGGAACTGCTTCCTGAACGGTACTATAAGTCAATCCTAGGTCTTCATTCGTCGTGTAAATAGTTCTGCCACCATTAGCTGGTGGCTCCATATAGCTTCGCTTATTATAGCAATATCAATATGTAAATCAAATGTAAAATCATTGTATATGTTAATCCAATGTACAATCGTTGTATATGTTGCACATTGTTTTAAAATAGCAAAACTGTACTGTCTGTCTGTCTTGCAAATTTGGGCAGCTAGGCAGCTAGCCCATGGTTTTGCACACCCCTAATTGTCACAATGTCACTAAAAAATTTTGGATATTAATGACAAAAGCGAGATTTGCGCCGATCATAAGCAAAGTTACAAAAATTGATTAGAGAAACTTATTTTTTTAACATCAAAATTTCTAGAACCGAGAAAAAAATTATACTTCCTCCGATCTTATTTACCTTTTGCACATAAAAGAAGAATTTTGTAAAACTCTTCCTTGATTCTTCATGATCATAATTAGCCTTATTTTTGTGTATTGAGAAAGCAAGAAAGAAGGGACAGAATTCAATCTCAAGTCTTAGGTTTTACCAACACACAACCTTTTCCATTTCCGAAATTACAATCACAATTCACAACAGAAAATAACATGACAAAAGAAAAATTGGGAACAAAAAAAAAGTAAAACCTCACAATCAAAATTTATTTAAAATAGATAGTACCAGTGATTACAAACATTAAACTTATCTCATGCATGACAAGCAAATTCTACCAGAAAACTCAACACCAAAGGAAAGAGATAGCCATAAAAGATAAACCACCTAGGAGAACAGCAGGAAGAGACGTCGAAGCGGCACCAGCTTGTTCCGGAGCAGGCGCAGGAGCAGGCGAAGGAGTGTTCAAGTGATGGACACTAGCCGGTGCAGGCGCGGGGCTGTGGCCGTGATGGATATTTGCCGGGGCAGGCGCAGGGGCATTATCATGATGCCGATGGTGGTGATGGCCGGCCATAACCGCCATGGCGAGGAAAGCGAAGGTGATCAACACTAACGTTTTGCCAAATTGCGCCATTGGAAATAGAGGTAATGTGAATGAACGTTATAGTGTTTGTGTGAGAGAAGTGAGAAGTGATGCACAAACTTAGGGGTGGTTTTATATAGTAAGAGTAGATGGAAGAGGGTTTGGGAAATGAGTAAATAGGGTTTTGTTGGAAATAGAAAAGTTTAATTTGAATAGGCATGCCCATTCAATTTATCTCTTAGGAATATGAAAATGGTAAATTAAGGGACAATTTTGTAATTTGAATTTCTCTAATGTGAGTACAGAATGCAACGCCTAATCTTTCTTTGTTTATTATCTTGTTATGATTATAATTACTTTATTTGATTGTTTGATGATTTTTTTCCCTTAAAATTTTTTGAAGCTTTTTTATTTAATCTATTATTCTTGAATCTTGCTAACGAGAGATCATGGGCGTTAGATAACAATTTGAGATAAACACTCCCTTTTTTTTTTATCATAATATTAGCCCCATTTATGTTTAACTATGTAAATTATTTATTACAAATATCTTTAATCTCACCCTAGCAAAATTTATAAAAATTAGATATTGATAATGTACTTATCAAGAAAAATAAAACTAAATCTCATATGGCTATATTTGAACTTATATATAGAGAGAAATTTAGAAGATTTCTTTAATTTTTAATAGTCAAAATATTCTAAATGTGACTAACAAACAGATAGAGGGAGTAATAATGTTTTGGATCAATGCGATGGTTTTGTCACACATTCTTATGTAAATATAGTCAAAAGATTCTAAATGTGACTATCAAACAAAAATGGAGGGAGTAATAATTTTTTGGATCAATACATAGTTTTGTCATACATTCTTATATAAGTAACAATGTAGCAAGATATGGATGCAGCTTTAAGTGTTAAACATATCATTATGCTTTTATATTTAAAAACTCAGATCATTGATTACATTAAGTAATTTGAATTTTGAATTTTCAAAATTTTTTACAAAGATCCAATGACAGTAATTGTAAGGATCATCAATTTATCACTAAATCATTTCTTATCGTTTTGCTAAAAAAATTATTGTTCATCCCTCCCTTTTCTTGGTTTCCCATACTTTGAAAGAAAGAATTCCCTCTGACTAGGGTTGGTAATCGAGTTGAGCAGCTCATGAGCAACTCGGACTCGACTCAGTCAAACCTCGATCAAACTCGGCTCAAGTTGGCTCAACTGGACTCGAGATGTTAACGAGCACTAGTTGAGCGAGCTCTAACTCGACTCGATAAGCTCGTGAGTAACTCGACAACATATTTTATTAATATAGAATTTACAAAGAAAGTTATTACCATGAACAAATTTGACACTTAATAAGAGGTAATTAATATTATAAAAAAAAAAGAGTAAATCTTTAATAATAAATGAAATAAATAAAATAAAACTATATAAAGTGAACAAAAACAATAAAGGCCTAAAATTTTAGAAGGGCCAAAACTTTAACGAGCAGATCATGAGCTACTCAACTCGAGTCGGAACTTTAACGAGCATGAGTCGATCAAGTTTTATTGACTCGAAACTTTAACGAGCACGAGTTGAGCACATGAAAAAAGTTTTCGAGTCGAGCACCCCTTAACTCGTGATCGACTCGCTCAATTACCACCCTACCTCTGACCATTTAAATAAAAAGCAATATTATTGAAGATTCTAAGTTCATTGGTATCATAATTTCTGCCACATACATATAGATATTTGGTATGGACTGAGTAATTCTCAACTTTGATGACCTAATATTGCACAATTGGTTCATTTAATCGGCTATACTTAATTTGAAACTTTACAAAATTTGTTAATCCATAAGATTTATGGCAATGACATCAAGAGTAATTCAAAGTGGAAAAAATGACTAAATGACCAAAGAGTGTATACTCGTTTACATAAAAAGTTTGGCATAATACGAGAATTTGCTTTATGTTCATTACGGTTATATATATATATATATATATATATATATATATATATATATATATATATATATATATATATATATATATATATATATATATATATATATATATATATATATTTTTTTTTTTTTTTTTATTTTTTTTTTTTTTTTTGGTGCGATGCTTTACATGTTAATATACTTATATTGTCTCTACACTTTCTTTATATATATATATATATATATATATATATATTTTTTTTTTTTTTTTTTTTGGTGCGATGCTTTACATGTTAATATACTTATATTGTCTCTACACTTTCTTTATTTGCAAACAATCTACAAATGCTAGTTGTTAAAGTTTGTATAGAGGTAAATTTAGCGTGTTCAGAACTACGAAGTAATATTTAGTAGGATCAAAATAGAATTGATAAAGTTATATTAGGTTCAATTGGCAAATTTCCAAAGGTAAGAAAAATATCAATTGGGGTCAAATGACCCTACAAATCAAAATGTAGCATTGTCAAAGTGTTTCATTCATCTAATTTTTCTTAAAAGAATTTGTATGACAACCTTTATACAAAAATTAAAAAATATGGACTATATTAAGCTATTATTTGGCTGCACACAAAAGATGGGGAAATTATATGAATTATGTGAGCTTAGAAACACAATTTCTGAACTTATTTTAACTTAGCTTATTTGAACTTAACAGAATTTATTAGATTTAAAATAAGTAAAAATAAGATAAATAGGACAAACCTTTGACAAAAAAAATATCTAGTGATACACATATGATATGGGCCAAAGACGGATCCTTTTTATGATTATTTACTCCTAGACCCTAGAGTATGTAGTACTCCCTAAACCCCCCATGAAACACAACGTTCCAATAACCCACTACACTCCACTACCTGCCAGTAACTTTCCCTACCCCACTTATATATACAAAAAACAAAAAAAAAAAAATCAAATAATTATTTTCAAATCATCTAAACATCTTCAAGCTCTCTCCATTTTCTCTCTCATCTAAAGCTTTGAAACTTCAAAATCAACAACAATGTCCGTTATTACAGACGAAATTGTTCAATCCTTGGAAAAATCACCAAAAGATCTTCGAAAATCAAAATTGTATGAATTTTGATTCATTTTTTGGAATGGAAAAAGGTATAAACCCTAATTTTTACTTGTTTTTTTCGAAAGGAAACATCAAAAATAAATTTGTTGTTTCAAGCATCCGTATAATTGTACATCTCTTTGTTGCAAGCCTCAATTTCATAGATAATTTTGTTATTCTAACTTCTAAGCATTTGTATAATCATATATCTCTTTTGTTGCTAACTTATGAGTACTTAATGTATTAATGTAATTAAGTACGAGTATTATAATATAGTTTTACTAGTTTTTGTTATAAGAAAATTATAAAATTGTTGGACACAAAAAATTGAAAACAGAGTTTAATTGTCATAATTTTCTGGAAAAATTGATCTATTTTGTATTAATATAGAAATGTAAATTAGTTCGTAGTGAAAAGTTATTTTTTTATAAATGTTCATTTTTAATTTGATAAATGCTCATTCATATATTAGTACAAAGTCAGTCACACACATATATATATATATATATATATATATATATATATACATTCACATATTAATTTTCATTTTTTTGATAATTACTTAAAGAGTGGAAAATTCTTTTAATGAATGTTCATTGTAATTTGGTAAATCTAGCTAGAGTATGATTTCTATAATATTCATTTTTAATAAATTATATGTTCATTTTTATATTAGTTGATAAACATCTTTATTGATTTCCATTTAAATGATTCTCATAAAATTCTTTAAAAGTTGGGCAAAAAGAAAACAATAAGCCAAAAATCTGAGTTTGTGACTTGAAATGTAAGTAAAATTCAATAAACAAGTGATATAATTTTTTATTTTTTTTGAACAAAATAAGTAATATTATTTAGTGTTCAATTATGTAGCACATAATGTTCATTTATATAACACTTAATATTCAGTTTATTAATAATTTGTTTTCATTAAACAGAAGGCTGATGATGCAATACATTGCTCAACTAATGCAAACTGAAGAAAATGATGAGTCTACAAATAATAGAAGAGCGGCAAGAATGAAGGCATATTATAATATGTTCAATTATGGATATATATGTTTATAGTTGAATTGGTTGATAAACTAAAACTTATAGATATTACTTGTTAACAAAATTACTCTACGTTGTTTAAGTTTAAATTATTTACGTTAAAGTTTGATAAATACTATTTATTTACAGAATTATTCTTACAATTTTATATGAAAATTTTGAGTTTTATGTAAAGTATTATGTTTATCAATTTTGATCATTTACAAAACTAAATGATCACTTTCAGAAACTTAAATATTCTCTTATAGAATATTAGTAAAACTAAATGATTCTTTACAAAAACTTAAAGATCACTTTTAAAAACTTAATGATCGGTTTTACAAACTTAAATATTCACTTACAAAAAATTTAAAAAAAAATTATTTCAATAAGAAAAATAGTACTTAATAGCAAAAGGATAAAGGTATTATTTTGAATATTAGGTGCCACTTGAGCATTTGTAGGAATTTGTACATTTTGAAAGTTCTTGGAGGAATTTTAGCACTCTTTTGAACACTAGGAGCAGCTTGATCATTGTTTTGAACACCTAAAATAATTGGAATTTGAACATTTCTAGGAACTCTAGGAGGAACTTGAGCATTCTTTTGAATACTAGGAGCATTTGTTGCAGCACTAGGAGGCTAGGAACTCTAGGAGGAACTTGAGCATTCTTTTGAATACTAAGAGGCTAGGAACTCTAGGAGGAACTTGAGCATTCTTTTGAATACTCGGAGCATTTGTTGCAGCACTAGGAGGAACTTGCTTCTTTTTAGAACAAATAAATCTTTTCATACATATTGAATCGTCTCTTCATCGCCTCTTACACTTCCCAACTCTAACTCCAAGACCTTTCATAAATGCGTATTTGTTATGCATTTCATAAGCTTTCTTCTTCAGATTTAAATTATTTCCCCACTAAATCAGACTTACTTGTTTCTTCAAGAATAATAACATTCTTTTTCGTCACTGCAATAATAAAACATGTAATAAATAAACATATATATCCAATAGCAACAATGTTCAATTATAATGACGCATTTGATCAATTAGAGTAAAGTTACCATAGAGTATATATAAATGAACATTTATCTTTACATAACTGAACATTATAATGACACGGTAGAATAACAAATAATAAAATATGTTCACTAGCTAAAAGCCTCAAATGTATATGAGCAACTACAAAACAATTATATTCATATACAACTACAATTAACATGTTATTTACTACTGAACACACATATAACACAAAAAATGAACATTTAATATTACAAAAGGGAGCATTGTTTTAACTATAATTGTTTATATATAGCACATAAAACTGGTAAAAACAATCGAATGATAAAATTATAAACAACTATAAAAGTTCATATAAGATGCACATAATTGGAAAAAAAAATAGAATATTAAAATGAAATTAAATAAGAGCGATAACTAGAATTGAACAATCTAATAACAAGATTACAATCAAACTATAAAATAAGAACAATAACACGAAATAACAATCGAATAGAAGAACAATTACGGCCAAAAGTATGAATCAAATCATCGTAATCATTACAATCAAACAATAACAATTGAAAAACAAAGAATTGTCAAAATTAAAAGCATTACAACCAATCCTATGAAATCAAATATTTGTAATCAAACAGTAACAATAAAAAAACAGAGCATTATCAAAATTAAAAATCAAAACAAAAAACCCGATTGATTAATTAGCATTAACGATAGGAATTACTCACATTAATCATTAAACGAATCGAGTAATCCAACTCTAGCAGAAATAAAATATTCACGATCATGATCAAAAGCAATTTAGCTAGAAATCTCCATGAAAGAAGAGAGAGAAAATTGAAAAAAAAAGGAGAGAGAATATGAAATCTATGTAAAAGAGAAGAGAGAAATTTTTTATGCAATGGCTTGAATGAAAAGTAAAGATGGAAAGAAGAGAATTTTTTTTAAAAAATAAAATAAAATAAAAAATGCCAAAGGGGCAAAGTAAAAACGACGTAGTTAGATGGGGTGTAGGGAAAGTTGCATAAACTAGAGTTCAAGGAAAAATTCAAATACACGAGATAGTCCATGGAACTAATGGGCTTAAATTTGTCTCCCGTTTTCAGCAAATTCTAACAATTGATACAGGTATAATAATATCTCTTGTCAAAACAGATGGATAATAATTAATAAAGTAAATATATATACAAGTATATAACTAATATGGCAAGGATTTAACCATACTCCTTAAAAAATCAACCGATTCACAATTGTCAATTAATTTTATTGTTGCAAATGACCCTTTTATTTTTTTTCACATTTCAAACTACTACATTTAAAGATCAGCCCTGTCTTATTTGTATTAAATTGTGGCAGGTAAACTGTAAATGAGAATTAATTTCATCTTGAGACATGTCAAAACTTTCATAAACAAATTATTTAGCTTGTCGCCGGTCATAAGTTGTTACTAAACAATAACACAATGGATTTTATAAGATTATACACAATTGTTAGAGAGGTAAGATATAAGAGGATTACAAAACGGAAAAGGAACAATTTCACTACTCGGGACGAGTAAAATAAAAAAGAATTATATAATGATACATGCCAAAAATATTATCCCAACAACAATATCAACACATATATATAGTACCGAGTACTAGTACAATAATAGTGCCATAGTGGAAAAGAATCGTCAATCTCAACTGGAGTAACAAAACACTCCTAGCTACAAATTGAACCAAATTACTACATACATACGTACACTAGTTATAATTGTAACCAAAAAAATAAAATTTAGTGCCTCAAGAACATAGCGAGGAAAATAGAGAAGGCAACAGCAACCGGAGAAATAGCCAAAGAAAACCCGGCTGAGGTTGGTGCCGGTGTTGGTGCCATCATAGGCGCCATTCCATCCATTTCACTCATTTGCCCATTGACGGCCACAACAATAGCTGCAACAACGAACAACATAATCAACGCTGTGAATTTGTTTGCCATTCTTCTTTTGTTGTAGAAAAGAAACAAAGTTTGGTTAAGAGCACAATAATATCGTAGATATGCTACAATAGTTTTAGAGGGAAATTTTTTAGTAGTTGTGGAATTACACAAATTATGTTGGACTATTTAAAGACGAGATTTTTCTCCAAAATAAAAAAAAAATTAAATACGAGATTTTAGGGGTGTGGGGACCACTTTAACGTTCTGTAAAATGACTGCCACGTTTTAAAGAAAAAGACCTAATTTAATATAAATATAAATTGTTTTTTAAAAAAAAAAAAAATATATATATATATATAAATAAATAAATTTGTTTTTTCTTAAAGACAACGGCTATATATGTGGTGATGGTTTCAAATAGGTTGCGGGAAGCACGTGCGAAGACAGCCAATTTACAGAGTAGGGGCAATGAGAATGCGACACGTATGGTAGTGGGGTTAGAAATGTAACGTCACAATTAAACGGTGATGTCGGCAACTTAACGGCCGTGTTAGGGTGTTTTTATCTGGTTTTACAGCTTGTGTTCACAAGTTTTGTAGGCCCATTTTGCATGTGTGTTCCTGGAAATTTTGTAAGGGTTTTGAAAATTCAATTTGTGCAATTTGGCATTTTTAGTAAATTCTCAAGGATTGTTTTTGTGGTTCAAAAAATACAACTTGAAAGATAAAGTTTTTTTTTTTTTTTTTTTTTTTTTTTGAGAGCAAGTATTCATTCTCTTTTATACTCAAAAAGCAATCACAAGCAAAGCAAGATATTCATAATGACAGGTCGGCGAAGTTAAAATTTATTAAATTAAAAATGAATTTGAGAATTTGCTATAATTGGTATCTGAAAACCAGACATGTGCAAATAGTACAATACAATTTAATGGTAGAAGTATTGTCATCACGGCATTCATGAAACAAATAGTTGAGAAGTCATCCATCTCAATTTAGAATCGGATGCATTGTAACTTTTTTATAATAAGTGAACCATGATTTTTGCTTTAATAAATTGCTATATTTGTTCTTTTCTTCCTCCTCTTGATCCTTAGCTAACACCATGGACCAATCCAACCACCTAAGGTCACCATTACAACCCCATTGGATACCTAGTCACACACTCTCAACATCTACCTTTGCCATGAATTATTCAAAAACTTTAGGAACTAGGGTATATAAATTGATTTATTGGACAATATTGTCAGCAATAAATATGAGACAAAATTGCAGAGAAAATAGGATTAATGTGGTTAAGTCGTCAATGGGAACTACCTCCGTTAATTATTATGTGCAACAAAAGAATATTTTATATCTCACAAATAATACCTCTTTGTTACATATAAAGAGGAAAAGTGGATGGATAAATAAATTACTTTGTATTTAAAAGTAAGATATGTAGGAGAAAGAAATAAATAATATAAAAATAAATAAAGAATGATTGGTTTTAAAATGTGATACACTTAAAAACTATAGATGAGGCATTACTATGATTGTTATGAATAAAGGATGTATTATATTATCTTTTTTTTAAAAAAATGAATTATGTTACAATGAACTTGCATTGAAAATTATCCTCCAATAGAGCTAAAGACGGGTATTCAAGCTAAGATACAACTAACATCGATAAACCTGAAAAATAATACACTTGCATTATCCTCCAAAAAACAATACAACTAACATCAGAGTCAACACAAATGTGTAAAGGCGAAGTAATGTAGAAGTCGTGAATCTTCGAATCTAAGAGGCTAAGTATCACGATTTGAGTATGTTGATATCGGTCCATGCGATGCACTATCGTCTAAGGGGCAACGAAGGTGCAACACAAGTGTTAGAAAAGGTGTGTGGCACGGATCAACACATGTAAGTTAGGCATCTAATGCATGGATACTCTTACCTATTGGCGGCTAGAGAAGCAACAAAGGTCAGTAAGGGCTTGTGGTGACCAATCAAGTCAAAGCGAGCACAAGCATGTCCGACAACAAATCGTATCTGTTTCGAGGGTCTCTAAGGGGTTACTTTGAGGCAAGTTCATTAATCACTCGCTCTCTAATATGCTTTAATTTGCATTCACAATATTTCTTCAACGAGCGTTGGACTACAATAACACAATAATTTTACATAGAACCTAGAATACTTAAATAATAGACCTAGAAAGCATTACATGAGACTTCATATATATATATATTTGGCACGAGTGTGTAGTGTCCAAAAAGGCAAAAATGATACAAATGTGAATGGCTATGGGCATTTAAAAATCGGTCTAGATGGGAAAAGTGGACCAGGCTGGATAAAAAAAAATGGTCCCATCTTCGGGTCGAGAAATTTAAAAAATCGATCTTCAGTTTGGTCTATCCAAAACCTCTTTAAACTGGTCTTAAATTGGACTGGCTTTTTGTTAAAAATTATAAATTTTACAAATATTTTTATATTATGAGTTATTGTTTCATTTAAGAAGTTTAAAATAGGCTTTAAATAATCATTTTCCTTAAATTTATTTTATCTTTTTTAAAATTTATTAATCATTTTCCTTAAATTTATTTTATCTTTTTTTTTTAAAATTTATTATAAACTATTAAAAGTATAAAAAATATTGAAAACCGGTGTCCGGTCTAGTTTCTGGTTCTTGAATTTAAAAAATTTGGTCTTTGACCCAATCTGGTTCAATTCGATCTGTCCAGCCTTGGACCGGTGAACAATTCTAGTATTACACGGGTTTGCTAAGTTGAAGATGTTGAATTAGTGTTTGATTATTTTTTAAATGCCCCACAAATCAATAACCCACGTACTTTGCAAATTTTTAGCTGGACTCGCGTGCAGCTATCACTAGCTGGTCCTGTTTCAAAATGACGTCGTTTTGCCTTGGAGAGCCCAGCTGTATTTTGTTTCTTCCTCTAAACGACGTCGTTCTTCCTAGCTCATAAATTCAATTTTGTTTCATAATTATTTTTGTTCCCATAATTGAGTATATAAATCATTTAATTTGTTTCCAATTAAAGCATTTAATTTCTTTCCATTTAATTCAGAATTTCTCTCTCTTTTCAATTTTACCGTAATTTTTTTTTCTCATTGTTCAAATTCGATTTTTGATTTTCGATTCTTTTGAATAAATCAATATTTTCGATTCTTTTGGTTGTGAATAACAATGGAGTTTACTACTGATTCTTCATCTGGAAATCTTCCTTCCTTAATGGATGAATGTAAGTTTATCTTAAAGCTTTTGTTTGATTTTTGATTGAATAATTTAGTGCATTTGATTGAATAATTTTTTGCTTTTTGATTCAATGGAATTTAGTTTTTAATGGATGATCATGAGTACCTTGTTTAATGCATGATTATGATGTTTAATTTTGTTAATTGATTATTTCATAGACTGAATAATTGCTTATTGTTAATTTCTTTTGATTGTATAATTTAAATTTGAATTTAATTTTTATTTTACTGTATTTCATATGTTTTTGCTTTGATTATACATGTTATAGATTTTTGGCTTATAATAATATTATAATGTTTTTAATTGAACATTTCATATTTTGATTATGAACAATATTTTAATAATGAATCACTTTTTTTTTTTTTTTTCATTTTCTTATTTTTCTAATATAAATGTATATTTTATGTTTTTGATATGAACATTTTTAATCAGACACAATATGACCCGATAATAATTGAACATTATGTGACTACATTATGTAAATTTTCAGTTTTCAGTGAGTAAAGATCCAATAATTGTTCACGAGTCAGACAAATCTGAATTAATGCTGAAGACTGTTAAGGGTGATGCAGAGGCTTACGATTTATATGATGAGTGTATGCATTTCGAAAAGGTTTTAGTGTTAGGAAGGCAATGACAAGGAGTAGTAAGAGCACTGGGAAATGGACTATGAGCGAGTTATTTTGTTCAAATTCTGGGTTTAAAAATAAGAAGAAACAGAACGCTAGAAAGTATGAAAAATTGGTGGAACGTACGGATTGTACAACATATGTTCAGTTTTCATCTGTTGGGAATGATGGTGTTTGGACAGTAGTTAAACATAATATGATCCATAATCATGAAATGATACCTCTTGGGAAAAGACATTTACTTAGATCTCAAAGAAAAGTTGCTGATGATCAGTTGAAATTTATGACTAACATGAAAAACTGCGGGATTAGAGTGCCTAATATATTACATGTAATCAGAAACAAAGTTGGAGGATCACCTAATATGGCGTTCACAACAGGAGATGCTTATAATGCTCTTTCTACTATAAAAGCCAATAAGCTTGAAGGCGGTGATTGCAATCAACTAATGAAGTATTTTGCTAAAAGGCAAGCAAGAGAGTCTGATTTCTATTATGAGTTTGAGGTTGATGGGTTTGGATCTCTTTGTAACATTTTTTGGTAAGATGGAAAGATGAAAAGGAATTATCAATTTTTTTGGAGATTTATTGTTTTTTGACGCTAAGCTATATATAGAACTAATAAATACGATATGATTTGTGCACCCTTTGTTGGAATGAACCACCATTGTAGTAGCGAGATGTTTGGAATGGGATTTGTTGTTAATGAGTGTACTATCTCTTTTGTGTGGTTGTTTGAGTCATTCATGCGTTCTGTTGGAGGTAAACATCTTGTTCCCGTGATGACTGACCAAGCATTAGGAATGGCAGCAACTATAAGAATTATTTTCCCTCAATCTAAGCATCATATCGTTTATGCACTTGGCACCTTGGTGAGAATTCAATTACCAATATTGGGCATTTGAGAGCTTTGAAAGGATTCAGAGATACATTCAACTATATTCTCAAATATTATGAAACTGTAGCTGAATTTAAGCACTATTGACCTCAGTAACACATTCTTGTCTCTCTTTAATATGTATATAATAATATTATCTTCATTCATATGTTATTTTAATATTTGATTTTTAATTGATTATTGTCTTATTGATTCACCTTTCTGGTTTTGAACAATCAGATTTCATAATTTGAACACCAATATTTGCATCAGTGGTTTTTTTTTTTTTTTTTTTATTTTTATTTTTATTTTTTTTTATTTTTTAATAAATGTTCATTTTTTGCAATCATTGTGTTCATTTCTTGTAGTCATTTTATTCATTGAAATTCACAGAATGATGGAGAAGTATAAATGTGAAGATAATGATTGGTTTAATGATTTGTACCAAATGAAAGAGAGGTGGTGCCCAGCATATTTGAAGGATTACTTTTCTAGCGGTGTTTTGCCTTCACAAAGAAGTGAATCAACAAATAATTCTTGATGTTATATGATTTCTATCATACATTTCTTGATGTTATATCAGACTGGAGGAACAAGGAAAAAGGTTTAGGCTTTCGGTTTTAAAGGGATAATAGACACTTAGCTGTTGTTAATGTGCCTATGCTTGTTGATCATGCTCGAGAGATTTTCATAATTCAGATTTATGTGTTGTTTGAAGAGCAATTTGCCAAAGGTATTGCATGCAATCAGTAACAAATTTTGGTAAATTATCCTTTTTTTTACCTACTTGGTGTGGAGGCCTACCATTGATCTTATAAGGCATGAGGTTAAGTTTAACAAAGACACATATTCTGTTCAATGTACATGTAAGTACTTTAGTGAAATGGGTTTACTATGTGCTCATTCACTTCGTATTTACAATGTGCATTGTGTGTGTAAGATTCATGAAGAGTATATCTTTAAAAGGTGGACAAAATCAGCTATGTGCAGCCAGCCTGTTGATGAAAAATATATGCAATCTAATAAAGGAGCACCATTATTATCAAAGTTAGTTTGTTTGGTTACTTCTTGTCAAGATTGTGCTCAAGCAAGGGTTCAAATTGACATGGCTTTTGATTTGGTTAAGAAACAGTTGAGTAAATGATAGGAGATATTGATTTTACCAACCTTGATGATGATATTTCAACATAAAAAATTCAAGATCGAAGAGGAAAAAGGGAGGTAGGAATGAGAGGCTGAAGAGTACTGTGGAAAAAGAGTGTAATAAAGCTAAGGGTTGGAAGAAGAGAATAGAGAAATATACTGAAATGGTTACGTTTAATTTTTAGACATATAGGTTTCTAAAGATGAACAATTTATGAATTCATATGATCAATTTTATTTTTGAACAAATTTTTTTTTGGATTTTATAGGATTTTGATAATAATGGTGCTCCTTTGATTTATTCAAATTCTAGCATTAAAGGATCAAGGTTGGTTGTTTTACACAAGGCTATTACTCAATCAAGTGAAGGAAACAAACTTTATAAGGATAAGGTAAGTATATGAACATTTCAAATTTCTATTATGAACATTTCATATTTTTAATATATAGGTTGGTGATGGAATTGCTACTCAGTCAAAAGATGCAACTCAGGATAAGAATAGTAAGGTAAATGTAATTAAACATTATAGATTTACTAATGTACATATATAGTATAGAATTTGACATTTTATTTATTTATTTATTTTATTTCTTGAAGCATTTTAAGACTGGAGGTGGTAAAGAAGCATATTTCAACGAAGTTCTATCAAAGTTTAATCAATGAATAATACTTTAGTAAGTTTATAGTAACTTTGCTATGTTTGATCGTCTTATTATTTCTTATTGAACATGTTATGATCTTTATTTGATTTTTTTTGAAGGGATTTCTGCCAATTATTGAAGTATACTATACTTGGTTTGAAGCATACTATACTTAATTTGAAGCATTACATTATCCTTCAAGATATTGGAATTTGTTTTGAGCATACAATAAATTTTTACTAGTGAAGAAAATATGTGACTAGAGTATACTTGATATTCATATTGATGTAAAGAACAAAGTTATAGATACAGTATTATAGCTTTTTTGGTATCATTTTTATTAATAATTTGATTTATCAATTCCATAACCTACATTGAAATTAGAAATTTATATCACAAAATGAACATATTGTGAAAAAAATGAACAATTATTCAAATATAAATGAACATCTTCAAAAACATGTGTTATTAGAATAGGTGATTTTGAAAATGAATATTTAATAATAATAAAATTAACTATTTTTTTTTGTTTAACAATTGAAGCAAAATAAACTGTAGAAGAAGACTAGTAGCAAGAGAGTGGCTGTAATAATTTTAAGCATTGATTTTACAGAACGATGCCAGATAATAATTAATATTTTGATCAATTTTTCTGAATTGGGAGAAAAAATTCATAAGTTTAATTTTGTAAATGTGTTTAATATTCTTTTAGTACTATCTAACATTTATATTAAAAAGAAAATGAACAATTTTTTGAAATGTGTTTAAATGTAATAGACTTTAGAATTGATAATGAGTATATTTACTAATTATAATGAATAATTTCAATATATAAATTGAACATTTTCATCATATAAAATGAACACCAATCCAAGTTATTGATTTGAATCTTATCTATTTTCATCATTGAATATTTTTAAGAAAAAATTAGAAATAATAATCCTAACTTTTATGAATTTTGCTAGAATAATCCCAACTTAAAATTATTGTGGAATAATTCAAATTTTGGGTGTAGTTCTTTTTCTTCAATCCCAAATACCGGTTACTGGTTGAATGGATTTTAAAAAAAAAATTGTTATAGTGCCACGTGTCGCAAATTAATTGGTTAAAAATATATAAAAAAAACCTAAATAAAAAAGTACCCTATCCAGCCAAAGCCCCAACCACCCAGCCAATCTGGCAACCTGCCAAGCCCAGCCACCTCCCTCACTGGACCGTCGTCCCTCCCCCACCAAAGTCGCCGCTCCGGCACTTCCCTCTAAACCACCGTCCCCCTCCCCGAAGCCCTAACGTAACCACCAATAAAACCCCTCCCCCATTTCGAAAACTTCTAACCACTTCCTTCTAGCCGTTAGGGTTTTCGACGATGAGGACGTGGCTGTTGAGGGTTTTTGGGAGTGAGGTAGGGGTTTCGAGGGTGTTTCGAATGGTTGGAGGGGTTTAAAGGGAATTTCGGTTGTGGAGGGTGGAAAATCGAATCGGAAATGGAGGGGATTAAGGGTGGAGGTGGGTCACAACACCATCATAGGGGGATGGGGGGGGGGGGAAAGCGGCGCAACATTGGGGCATGGGAAGGGAGGGGTAGGCGCGGCAGGTAGTGGTGGGGGTTACGGTGGTCAAGTAGAGGATAAGGGTTTTCTAGGTTTTTTTTTTAATATTTTTCTTTTTTTTGGACCAACTGTAGCTTGACACGTGACACATAATATTTTATAACAGGTCATTGACTTTTGTTGACTGGTTTGAGATTGAAGAAAAAGAACTACCCCCAAAGTTCGAATTATTCCAGAATAATCCAAAGTTGGGATTATTCTAGCAAAATTTATGAAAGTTGGGATTATTATTCCTAATTTTTCCTATTTTTAATAACTATTGTTTATTTTTAATAACTATGATTTACTTTCTTTAAAATTGTAAACTAAAAATGTATCAAATTCATCAAATATCAGAAAGATAATATTTATACACATTATCATTCAAAATAAATCGAAATACATTTTTTCTATAGAAATTTCATATTGTATAGTACATAAAAACATAAATTGTTTTGCAAATGAACATTTACTAATTAATCACTTTCTCTATGTCTTCTTTTTGCTGCCACTTTGTTTATTTGGTGGTTTATGTTTCCCTCAAAAAGCATCGGTTGTGCACAATAATAAAATACATAGAAGCAAAACATTTAACACAATAAAATACATTGAACCAAAACATTTAACACAATAATTAAAAAAAAGGATCACAATTTTAAAACTGAAAATATGAGTTAAAAGAAATGAACATAAAGAGTACATACATCATTCACTTTCAAGTCACAGTTCCATTTTTCCTTAGGGTCAGTTGTATACGTTTCCACGTGCTTCATAAGGTACAAACCACAATTTGTATGATTCAAATTGCTTCTCTAGCTCAACTGTACCAATTTTTTTTTTTTGTATTTGACAATTTCACCACTTTCATATCCATGTGATTTCAGAAATGCTGCATATGCTTTTGACTGTAAATAATGTATATAATTAGTAAATGATGTAACTACAAAACTTGTCTATTAAATTTCATTTATCAAAAATTATTTACCATAAGTTGTGGAAATTCTTTATACTTCTCTTTCTTCTTCATATTTTGTGGTAACTTTTGATTGTCTATTATATTGATTGTTCCATTGAAATGGTTGATGCAAAATGTAGTAATATTTGAAAACTGAAATAGGGAAGAATATCTGTTCCAAAATGATCATTTTTTTTTTAAATTCCAAAATGATCATTAGATAATATAAAACTGAACATTTTATAATAAACAAAAAAAAAATATTCTATTGAATTTTTATTTTACCTGTCTTAGTTGATTACTTTTTTGCACCTTACTGTCCTGAATTTCACCGTTCATCCTAATTATGAATGAGTTGATTCTTTCTTCCATGCCCACTGTTTTATCATAAACCTCATTTGTACACATTATAAGTTGCATAACATATAACATATTGTTATTATTTTGAATCTAATAAGCAAGTAATAAGTATTTCATTATTCAATGTTCAACCTACAAATGGAAAGGTTGAGAGGTATAAATTTGTCTCTATGCTTTTCATTCAGAATTCTTGACTAGGAATCAATTATGCAATTCACCACCTATGTATCCCCTTCAAGAGTTTTCATCTCCTTTCTATTGATGCCATTTGTCTCATCAAAGTATAAAGGATCACTACATAAAATCAGGTAAGAAATAATTTATGACCTTCTAATTCTCGTCATTTTTTGTCTTTAATTCAGGCATTGACGACGAAATTCGTGCTCCCTTATCCTACACAAAATGTACAAAAATGCAAATAAACCATTCAAAATTTAAAATGTTCAAAAATCTAAATAAATCAACCAAAATTGAACTAACAGTTAGTGAAATTGATGATTGGAGGGAGAAAATGGTGAATTAACAAAATCTAGGTTGTAATTGAACATAGTTTTACCTTTACAGTTATATTCGTTTCTCAAATTAGCAAAAAATTGAAAATCACCTTCTTTTTTTTTTATGCAGATTTCCGAAATTTGCTTTAACACCAGTAATTTCTTCTCTAATATCCATGATTACGGATAAATTTTTTTATTTATAAGCTTTTTGAGAATGTTTACAGAGGATTCTGAGAACTAGAGAGGAAGTGACGGTTAGAGAGAGAAAACGGGTATGGCGGTTTTGAAAATGAAAATTGAGGTTTTTTTCATTTAAAATAGGTATTTATACCTGATTTAAGCAATTAAACTCGTCGTTTTGTAGAGGGTTTATAAATAGATAGCTGGTCTCGAGTCCAGCTATTAGCTATTGCACGTACTTGGTGGATTGATGGGCCAAATCTGGTTAAGCTGAGCCCAATATAATTGTTTCATTACTCTCATTTCTAGGTAACCTAATTACTTCTAGGTGGACTAAATCAACTGCTTTTTTATGTATAACCCTATGTTTTTCATTACAAAAGATTAAAAAAAAAAAATCATTCCATAATCGTCAGCTCTCATCTTCATCCTCATCTCGATCTCCATCAATAGAATCAAATTTCTTTGACGCCTTGCCGGACAATCCACTACTAGAAAATAGGTCATTTCCGACGGAAAAATTCCGTCGGAAACACCCTGAATTCCGTCGGAACGTGTTGTCGAAACACCATTTGTAGGAAAAACGGCCATTTCCGTCGAAAATTCCGTTGGAACATTGTTTTTCGACGGAATTCTGGCGGAATTTTTTCGCCATAAGAGGTTTTCCGGTACCGGAAAGTCCGTCGAAAATTTCCGACGGAATTCAAATCCGCCGGAAAATTCCGACGGGAATTCCGTCGGAAAATTTAATAGAAAAAAAAAGCCCCACCCACCACCCCCACCCCCACCACTAGCCCACCCCCTGCCCCCACAACCCAGATCCCCACCCACCAGCCCACCCCCTGCCCCCACAACCCAGATCCTCATACCACCCACCACGTCCAACCCAGATCCAACCCCTGCTCACCACCGCCACCCCCTAACCCTTAACCCCCACCCACCAGAACCGTAACCCCTAACCCACCCACCACCTTAACCCCCACCCACCAGAACCGTAACCCCTAACCCACCCCACCCACCTTAAACCACCGCCACCCCCTAACCCTTAACCCCCACCCACCAGAACCGTAACCCCTAACCCACCCTACCACCTTAACCCCCACCCACCAAAACCTTAACCCCCATCCACCAGAACCGTAACCCCTAACCCACCCCACCACCTTAACCCCCACCCACCAGAACCTTAACCCCCACCCACCAGAACCGTAACCCCTAACCCACCCCACCCACCTTAAACCACCCACGACCCACCATCAATCACCTAAACCTACCCAAACAAAACCCAAAACCACCAACACCGAACTCCAGCAGCTACACCACCCAGCACAACCGTATATATATAAAAAAAAAAAAACTGATTAAATAACAAAATAAAATCCGAAAAAATAAGAAACATACCTTAATTCGACCTCACAAACCGCGAAATTGGGTTTACGAGGTCAAATTCGTCCATAAAAACTCTAGATCCAGAGTTTTCATGGTCGAATTTGACTTGAAAACCTTTGTTTTTAGCAAATTTGTTGTTGTTAGTGTCGGTATTAGTGATTTTTGGTGAGAAGGAGGACGAGGAGGGAGGAGTTGTTGTTGGTGGTTTTGGGTGAGAAGGAGAACGAGAGGACGAGGAGGGAGGAGTTGTTGTTGTTGGTGGCGGTTATGGTGGTTTTGTGTGAGAAGGAGAGGACGAGGAGGGAGAAGGAAAGAGCAGGGACGAGGAGGAAGAAGGAGGGCGAGGAGGGAGAAGAGAAGAGAGGAG